CATGCTAAATTGCTGAGGCTGGCTTCAAACATTCAATCCTCCTGCCTCAGCCTTCTCAGCCACTGGGATTACAGGCGTGGCCCTCATGTGCTCTCTTATCAATCTTCTTCACTCTTTTCAGTTTATCCTATATTTCTGGCAATTAAATTGCCTCTGTTTTTTCCCCGTTTGTATTTGTTTTCTTTAGTAGTATTTGTTTTTTCATTGTCAATTTTAGTACTTTTCAAATTACTTATCAGGACCCTGTTTAGATTTTTCATTTCTATCAATGAAAAACTGATATGTTGTAAGACAATAAATCATTACAAATTAAAAAGAAAAAGTACGGATGCTCCTTGACCTATGATACAGTTCTGTCCCATCATTACTTGAAAATATCATAAGTCAAAAATGCCTTTAATACCCCCAGCCCATTGAACATCACAGTACAGTTTCTAACAAATGCATATAACTTTCAGACCATGATAAAGTGGAAACATCCTAAGTCGGGACCACATGTTGTTTACCGGAAACTCAAGTTTCACCAGGTACCACAATTGTATTTTTATTTGACCAAGTCTGGCAGCCTTGTTCCTAAAGAATTAAAGGTCACTCTGCCCAGAAAGTAACTCCAAATGAACCATTGTGTCTGGCCAGAGAAGGCTCACACATCTGACCAGAGATAAAATGCATCTACAGTGCTTGAAAGGCTGACTTCGTTGCTTACATAGTTTATAAGGGAAAATATCAGTGACTGCTGTAAGAATTTGTGTGTGTGTACATGGTTGTGGATGTGGCTCAGTGGTTAAGCACCTCTGGGTTAAATATTTAATACTGGTACCCTATCTCCCAAAAAGAAGGAAAATTTAATTACTTGGAAATATATAAATAAATATATTTAATATATAAATGTGTGTACTCTTCTAACCTTCTAGGTTCTCAGCTAGGACTCTAACAAAACACAGATTAAAGAGAAAAATAAAGTCTGATAACATGTATAATATCTCAGGAGAAACAGATGAGCAACTCAAAGAGTTATTAAAACTTGGGTTGATGTTTTTCAGAGCAAAACTATAAATAAACAATTTGATTGAGCAAAGAACAATTTAGAAATCCATCATTCTTTGAAACAGAAGAGGTTCAAAGAAGCCCAGTCTACAATAGGTATTTTTTTAATTAATTTTTTATATATAACAGTGGAATGCATTACAATTATTACATATATAGAGCTCAAATTTTTATATCTCTGGATAATACATAGTATACTCACATCAATTCGTGTCTTCATTCATGTACTTTGGATAATAATGATCATCACATTCAACCATCATTAATTACCCCATGCCCCCTCCCTTCCCCTCCCACCCCTCTGCTCTATCTAGAGTTCGTCTATTTCTCCTATGCTCCTTCTCCCTATCCCACTATGAATCG